AAGTACACTGGCAATGCCCCAAGTATCAGCCAAACAATGCAGTTCCACACAGCTCTCTTCCAGATTTAAAATTAGCAATTATGAAAACTTTCAGGATGGGTTAACAAGGTTTCCTCCAGTGCAGAAAAGTATAGGTTTGCATTAATTTGACAAGGATGCTTTTAAACCACTCCTATTGCTCTTTATCTGTCTTCATCCTCAGATTACTGTCCTCAGTTTCTGATTATAAAGAAGGTACAATTTTAAATGTTCTTTAAAGTATACTAAACAAGACGGCATTTTTTCTTAGACATCTAGGTAACAACATTCTGCAAGGACATTTCCCCTAAAATTTACATTTTTAAATAGAGGTAATTCTAGTACTGTCAGTGTATGAAATAACTTTAGGGTCTGGAAATTTAAAACTCCAATTGCTCAAAAACTGTGGATAGCTTTTTTTCCTAAAGTACTGTCAATGGACAGCAAATGATGCTAAGATGATCCTCTTAGCATGCATGGCTGCATACACCAAGGGCAGTTGTTCACGTGAAAGATAAATTCCTACTGCTCAATGCACTGGAGTTGAAAAGATGTGTTCTGCTAAAGAGAATAACAAAATATGCCTTTATTTCAGCAACAACCTTTCTTGAATGACAAATCTTTTTACACAGAGTAATAATGTAAATCTTTAAATCTTTCCTTTTGCAGGTCAAGTTGAAGCTGGGGCGGGCTGTGGACTGCAGATGTGTGAGTGATGCTCAGCTGGGTGATGTGCAATATCCCTGCTGAGCACTGGTATCCAGAGGGTGGTAGTCATTTGCAGCAATGCAGAATTCTGGCTGGGATCCAAACATGCCCTTTGGCTAGCAGGAAGACCTGGAAGTGCTGTATCTAATCCAGCACACAGAAAGTATGCTGCACGAGGAAAGTATACTCTAGTCATCAATTGTTTGAGCTCTTACACAAAACTCTGCATGCGCTTTTTCAAGCCCACTGGACTTACCACTGGATTTATACTGTAGCCTTTGTCTTCCTGATTTTTGATTAGTTAAAAAAAAACCCTATAATGCAACCCATGCCACACCATAGCACTTAGCCAAGTTGCACCTGTGTATTTTTTCCTCCTGCTAAACCATTGATGATGCATCTAGAAATGCTAGCTGTGTAGCCCTGGTTTTCGGAGAGCCAGGTAATTCCTTCCTCAAAACGCTTTCTCCTGACCTGAGGACTGGGGCCCTGGGTGCCCAGACCACTTCTGACCTATTCACATGCCATGAGCCACGTTTGTTCTTTCCCTCCACTTAAGTGTTGTTGTACAGTTCAGACAAAGCACTTCACTGTGCGGTCATGAACTGCCTTGGATAGGCTGTTATCCCTTGTGTTGAGTTTACCCCTTAAACACATCAAGTGTGATGAATGTATGATAGCATGTAAGTCGGTAAAGGTTCCAATTTTGTGCTATTGGCACAATTGTATATGTGTCAATTAACTTTATTTGGGTTTCCAAGCAGTGGAACTTTAGTTATAGTAGGAAAAACAATGGAAAAGCTCATAATAGAGATCTAGTGATGCAGATAGGGAAGGGAGGCTGACAGCCACACTACACGCCTTCTGCAACAACAGGTCCTGCCAGACAAACCTTGTGGAATTCTATGGCAAGGTTTCGAGATGGCTAGATGGAGGGGATGCAGTGGATGTGGTATACCTGGATTTCAGCAAGGCCTTTGACAAAGTGCCCCATGATATCCTGGTGGAGAAACTGAGGAGTTTTGGGATACACCAAAGCACTGTCCGGTGGATTAGGGCATGGTTGACTGACCGAAAGCAGAAGGTAACCATTAGTGGGGAATCATCGGGATGGCAGCCAGTGACAAGTGGGGTCCCCCAGGGCTCTGTCCTGGGGCCGATCCTGTTTAATCTTTTCACCAATGACATGGAAGAAGGGGTGAACAGTCTGCTGATCAAATTCGCAGACGACATTAAAACTGGAGCAGTGGCCACAACTGAGGAGCAGGTACTCCAGATCCAAAAGGATCTGGACAGACTATGGAAGTGGGCAGGAGACAACAGGATGGCGTTCAATGTGGATAAGTGCAAGGTCTTGCACTTGGGGCATAGGAATAGATGTCATAAGTACAGGTTAGGGGACAAGTGGCTGGAGAGCAGCACTTGTGAAAGGGACCTCGGGGTACTGGTTGACTGTAGGCTAAACATGAGTCAGCAGTGTGATGCGGTGGTCAAGAGGGCGAATGCCACCCTTGGTTGCATAGCCAGAAGTGTGGCTTCTAGATTGAGAGAGGTATTACTACCGCTCTATATGACTCTGGTGCGCCCGCAACTGGAGTATTGTGCTCAGTTTTGGGCCCCTCATTACAGAAAGGATATAGCCAGGTTAGTGCAGCATAGGGCTACAAGGCTGGTGGCTGGTTTTCAGGGGATGGGGTATGAGGCAAGACTGAAGTAACTGGGTCTCTTCAGCCTGGGGAAGAGAAGACTCAGAGGGGATCTGTTGGCGACATACAGGTATGTGAGGGGATGTCACATGGAGATGGGTAGAGACCTGTTCTCCCCTGCAGAGGAAGGCAGGACGTGCTCCAACGGAGCAACGCTCAGGGAGCCAATGTTCCATTTGGATGCCAGGAAGCACTTCCTGACAGTTAGGACCCCGAGGGTGTGGAATGGGCTTCCACGGGAGGTCGTGGAGGCCCCATCAGTGCGGGTGTTCAAAGATAGGCTGGACAGGCACATGGTGGGCATGTCGTGAGCGGAGCTGGCTGGTGCCGGAGTTCAGACTAGATGGCCCGGGAGACCCCTTCTGACTTGTTCTGTTTCTATGTTTCTATTACCCTGCAGCCAACTAAACTCCTTGTTCATTGATTTTCTAATCCCAATGCGTTATAAACAACAAACACTTGCACTAACTGAGATCAAAAGAATCAATTTCTGTCCTGGCTAACCCAAGGCAGTGCCATTGCAAACAGACCCAGAAGCAAAAAGTTACTGTGCAGAATTTTCTATTGACTTTTGTTGTGGCTACTACAACTCTCTGCTGAGTTCCACAGAGCTGCAGGAACTATTTAGCACCTTGTGGCTATTTACATTATGGAGAAACTGGAAAATGTTTCCTGTGTCACAGAGTAACTGATTACTTCATAATTTGGATGACTTGGTACTGCGAACCTTCTTGCTCTGGTGTGCTCTCTCATTACTCGAGGCCTTCAGCAAAATCAAGTGGTCAATTTTTTTCTTAACCTGTATTATTTTAGACTGCAGTTAGGGGAACTACATGCTTGTATCTGCTCCCACCTAAAAAACCCCAAAATCCTCTCTGCACAAAAGACACTGCCATATGAAAGGGAAGGCAATGCTATGCCTTGCTCCTGAACATTTAAATTCTATAGGCAGGGCAGGGGATCTTTTAGGTACTACACTTCTAATCCACCCAATAACTAATATTCTCTCAGTGCATTACTAATAGTTCTCTCCACGGATTATGGGGAAAGTATTCAAAAATGGAAACCCCACCTCTTGCAATCTGAACTGTTCTTGTCCACCTAATTATGCTCATCCTGTAAAGTGATACTACTTCAAAGAAAATCAGCTTGAGTGGAGAAGCCTGACTGCCTTTATGGGTGTGATTTGCCACAGAACAAAGCAGGGCAAGTTGGTTCATCAGTGAAGAAATATTGCTAGATTTTAAAAAAACAATAGTACTCTTTTAAGATTACTCGTTGTCTTCTTAAACATAGTCTATGCACATAGAGGATAAGAATCTCAAGGTAGTAAAATGGACCACACAACTGGAAAAATGTGTTCACCACTAGAATTTTGAAGTTTCCTTGTACTAAAAACTTCCTGAAAAAAAAGCAACATAACATGCAAAAGAGTATACTAAACATTTTCCCCAATGGGCTGATTTTCTATTTATCTATTTATTTATCTATTTTCTATGGGCTGCACATCGCTTACTGATAGAACACTATAGGAAGCCTCATATGGGGGGGTCTGGGGTGCAGACTTTTTTCTAGCCCTCAGTCAGCATTCCCTTTTGGGGAAGCTCTTGGGGGCACATCCCAAAGGAGCCAGCCCAAGATAAGAGGAGCATGGCAAAAACAACAGGCTGTTTTAGCTTAGAGTTCTCTCTGTCAGCAACTAAGCCTTGGGAGACACATTCTGACCTTTTAGAAGGTGGGAAACTGGTACAAAAGTCAGAAACCATTACAGTATATGAGGAAAAGGTGGTATGATGTTCTGGGGAACCTTAGAGGGCTGAATTGAGACCACCAAGAGCAAGATCTGGCTCCTGGCTTGAGGTCCCCCCTCCACCATACACAATAAATGGAAAGTTAGAATAGGAATGTATAGACAAATACATTAAACATCAACATTAACATCACAGCAGGGCACGTGTTTGTTTCTGGATATGCCATTTAGGTCTGTCACAAATTCACCAAGACTCTAGTGGTATTAACAATTGTCTCCAATGTCATGACTAAAGCAACCTCAGTGCTGAAGAGCAAGCAGCTCTTTCTCCTGGTTGTCTACCTATCTGCATATATAAAACAAATGAATAAGCCAGAAAAAATCATTTATAATATTGTCTGCCCTCACTTTTGTTCTCAACATCAAGTCCTGCTTCTGTGGAAGGACAGCTATGGCATAGAAATGCCTTACACCAGCTCAGAGCATTGTTCTGTTAGGTTCAGTCTTTCTGCTCTGGGTGACAGGAGCTCTCTGGACTTTCATCCAAGCCTTCTGAGCTGCAGGCACCAAACACTGAACATGGGACCAACCACAACATGGAACCAAACTCTCCGGTGTGATGTGTTTCCTCTCACTCCTGCTAGAGTTTGACCTTGGTCCAGTCTGAGTCACTACCTCCTCCACAGGGTAGGGTTTTTCAGGTGCAGGGCTGAACTACCTAATTTGATCCAGACTGTTAAAATGCCAGTAGTTAGGGAAGAAACATCTTCAGGGATTTAAAGCACAAAGGAAAAAGGAGTGCACTCCAAACCATTTACCTGCAGTTTCTTTCTCTCCTGTAGTCAGTTCTCCATTGATCCCATTTTCTTTGGTCCTAGAATATGAGCTCTGTTGCCCAAGTGCACCGTATCCTGCATCTTCATCCTCTCTGTATGGAAATCCATTGGCACTTCTGACCAGTCCTTCACCTGGGCCACTTTGCTCCTTGATCTCTGGCAAATGTGAGTGTGAAGCAGCCTCTGCTATCTGACTTGAGGTCCAATGCGGTGCCTTAGCTTCATCCTTCCTATCGTCAGCCATGCTTCTTGCCCTTGAAATTTTTTCCTGGAAAAAGCAATGGAGGAAGGCTCATAAATGAACTGACTCAATACTTCGTGAAGGTATGTAGTTTGCTCTAACAACACAACCAAAATCCATGAAAGATTATGTACAGCTGTGGAGACATATGTGAAGAAAGCAACGCCATATTCAATATGAAATGCAAACTTACGTACTGTAATTGATTTCAATATATCAATGTAACAAGTGTTTTCCCCAAAGTATTACTATTATTATACATTTCTACCCCACTCTTCTTCGCACAAACCTTCAAGATCTTTTAGAATGTATTAAATTAGGAGTGAGTGCCTGGCCCAACATCATTCCTTTGAACTCAGCCTTACTAGTTTTAAGTCCTTAAAACTCAGTTCATTAAAATACATTGTTTCTTAATAACATTTTGTCTTACATCCTTGTTAGACAGACAGTCCTTGGACCTGTAAGAGCTACATATGGAACATGAGCTGAGCATCCCATCAATTTCATCTTTCAGGTAAAGGATCTTCTGAAGAGATTTCTCAAGGTAGTTTCATTTTCCCAAGCTGCATTTGTGCATCTCATCTTGAGCTTTGCAGAAAGTTGCAACATTGCTAATGAGCCTGTAGGTCGAGGCATGAAGACCTGAAACCTGAAAACCATTTCACCTGAAAACCATTTCACATTCTACTTTGTATGAGCACAAATGCTTCACTCTGGACCTTCCATCAGAAGTCCAGGGATGATTTGGGACTCTGAAAGATCCAGACACCCACCACAACTATGTTATTTCAGAAATAAGCCCTAACTATATCAAACCTGGGAGGCCAGTGCTTCCTCACAGGATTAGCAAGTGAAACATTTTGTTGGGATATTTACATGCCATGGTATGGGAGTTTCAGAAGGCTGGAGTTGTTAGAGATCAGGGACAATTCGATTCCAGGTAATTTAAACAACATTAAAAACAAAAACAAAACAAGAACAGTGGATTCATTTTGAGAAAAACTACAGCAGCAATGGTATCAGTATGCTTACTACATTAGCCCTGCATTTACTCAGCTCTTGGTTCAATACACAGGGCAAAAAAAAAGAAAAAAAATGTGCAGAAGCTGCAGTTAGCCTTACCACCCTCCTTAGCCCAATATGACCTAATTGGCCTAAGCCCTTCCTCCCTTTGTAATATGCAGTTGCTACAATCTGACTATGAGTATGCACAGGGAACTGTCCTCTGCTAAGCCAGATCAATGATCCATCTAGCCCCATATTGTCACTTTTGACTGGCAGTAGCTTTCCAAGGCTTCAGGGAAGAGGTCCTTTCCAACCCTGCTACCCAATTTTGTTCTTTTTAAATTGGTTATTAGACTTCTTTGAATCTTTACATTCTTTCTCACTTTTAGAAACTTTATATTATGTGATATATTTTATGATTTTAACTGTGATCTGCCCAGGGAGTTTTGGCTTTTGGGCAGTACAGAAGTATAATAAATGAAATCCTATTGAACGTTGGAAAGAATCCACCTACAAAGCTTGTGCTGCTGCTGAACTGCAGGCCCTCCTATAACTATCATAGAATACTCCAGGATCACACATGGAATGGTCCAAAACAAATAGAGAGTGCAGAGGCAGAACTTTTGTGCCATTAGAAGGCATGGCAGAAGCTGGAACTTTGTCAGGTAGGCTTCAGATCTCATAGTCAGGGAGGGGATTGGGGAAAAGATGAACATAACAAAATGCCTGTGCAGCACTTCTGCCCTCCACCCCATTCTGCAAACCTTTCGTTGGTATTTGCTCTCACAGTTCATCCATGAATAGTTCTCACAAGGAAAGGCAGGAAGTACACACAAAAACCTCACTCCTCCAGAAGTCATTCTGTCTTACGTTTCCAAAGCAAGGAAAACAGAAAATGCCAACAACTATTACATTAACCACCTACTTCCTATTCAGAAATGTCACATTAAGTTTAATGGGCCTTTCTCCTAAGTAACTGTGCAGCGTATTGTGCGGTAAGGGAAGGTAATTGAACTATCAGGTTGATCCAGAAATTTAGTTGACAGAGGACATTGACTTTTCTAAAGTTAAGCTCATGACTACATGACCTAGCATGTTACCAACTCTGTTTCCAAACCTGTAGCAGTCTTCTAATTCTTCTTTTCTGTGCCTTGGTGGAAGAAAATCTGGATCCCTACACCCATTATTCAGAAATAGAAAAACTTATTTTATGGAGTTAAATTGCACGTCCTGGGGTAAAAGCAGGTTGCTTACCTGTAACTGATGTTCTTCAAGTGGCCATCTGTGCATTCACACATATGGGTGCTGCGCCTGCACAGTGCCTAGGCCGGAAGATTAGAAAGCTAATGGTTTTTGGCGGGAAAAAGCTCTGCTCCCCTCCCCCATACAGTATAAATAGAGTGTACTCAGTCTTGAAGACCGACATTTGCCCCCTAGCAGTCAAGGACAGTACTACAAGAAGCAGCATCGGTATCGTAAGAACAGTGCGGAACCAATGAAAAAACAGTTCTGCTCACTGACACCATGCGGGGCCTGTGGGTGGGTTGTGTGAATGCACAGATGGCCACTCGAAGAACATCAGTTACAGGTAAGCAACCTGCTTTTCTTCGTCATGGCCTCTGTGCATCACACATATGGGTGATTAGCAAGCTTACCAGACTCGGAAGAGGGAGGTGTCATCAATGAAGAATGGTGGAAAGAACTGCTCTACCAAAGGAACAATCCTGTCTTGCACGTACATCAAGCCAATAATGCTTGGCAAAAGTACATGGAGCAGCCCAGGCTGCGGCTCTGCAAATATCCTGGATCGGAACCCCTGCCACAAAAGCCAATGAAGTCGCAACTGCTTGCATAGAATGGCCTCTTGGGAGCGTAGGTAAGTCCATCTTTGCTAGCATAGTTCTGGACAATCCATTTAGACAGTCTTTGAGATGTGACTGGAGAACCTTTGTCATGATCAGCGTATTTAACGAAGAGTCTATTAGAATTCCTGAAGGATTCTGTGCGAGACCTATAGAAAGCCAGGCAGCGTCGAACATCGAGAGTGTGGGGAGAGCGTTCAACCGGAGTCGATGGGGATGGAAAGAACGCGGGCAAGACAATGTCCTGATTCAAATAAAACAATGTAGCCACTTTAGAAAGAAACATTGAATCCATCCGAAGGATGACCTTTTCCTTATGAAAATTCAAAAACGGTGGATCTATGCAAAGAGCACAAAGCTCACTAGCCCTTCTGGCTGAAGTGACTGCAACAAGAAAGGCTGTCTTCCATGATACTAAACGTACATCCACTGTCGCCAAAGGTTCAAATGGGGGCTTTGTAAGTGCTAGGAGTACAACAGAAAGACTCCAAGTTGGCATAACAGGACGGACTGACGGGTGTAGGTTCTGTAGTCCTTTCAGAAAACGGTGAATCATAGGTTGAAAAAAACCCGATGAGCCCTGTAGGTTGCCCCGGTAATGTGAAATGGCAGCAGCGTAAACTTTTATAAATGATGGTTTAAGTCCCGAACGGTATAATTCAAACAGAAATTGTAAAATGTTCTCAATAGAGGCTGATCCTGGAGAAAAAGAATGGCAGTTGGCAAGGGATGAGACTCTTCTCCATTTCACCATGTAAGATCGATGCATAGATGGTCTTAGTGCAGATTCGAGAATCGCTTGGATATCAGGATGTAAGACCATCGGTCCCAAAACGGTTCTTGACGGTCCCGAAGAAAGAGTCGGTCACGTACTCTGTTAAAATGAATACTCAGTTCAACAGAGTACGTGACCGACTCTTTCTTCGGGACCGTCAAGAACCGTTTCGGGACCGTCAAGAACCGTGTCAAGATGCCATCAGGATCGATGAAGCAGCTAAGTCCAGCGGATGTTCCATGCTGTCAACTTCAGAGAAGCCAAGTCCGAGTGTTGGATTTCTCCGTTGTGCTGTGTCAACAAGTAAGGAACCGTTGGAAGCCGACGAAAAACACCTTCGGACTGGATGAGGAGAGTGGTGGACCATGGTTGTCTCGGCCACCATGAGGTTATTAATATTCCCGTAGCGTTGTCTTGAACAATCTACGATACCACACTTATCGAAAGGGGGATCGGGGGAAATGCATAGAAAGTCACGTTGCTCCAAGTGATCATGAGGGCATCTCCCCTCGAGTCCTGTCTGATACCCGCTCTGGAGCAAAACAGTTTGCATACCCTGTTCTCTTGGGTAGTGAACAAGTCTATGTCCAGGTATCCCCACATACGGAACAGTTCATCGCAAATCAGCCAATCCAGCTCCCACTTATTGGTTGTTGACATCTGTCTACTCAGTGTATCTGCTTCCACGTTGTCGGTTCCTGCAAGGTGGACCGCCAGTAGCATTATGTCCCTTGGGATACACCAATCCCAAATTTGCATCGACAATCGAGCCAAGAGAGGTGACTTTGTTCTGCCCTGCTTGTTGATGTAAAAAGCAGCAGCGATGTTGTCGGACGCAATCTGGACAACTTGGCGGTGTATGACGGTCTTGAAGGATTTGAGAGCGTTGAAAATCGCCAGAAGCTCGAGGAAGTTGATGTGCTTCCTCAATTCTTGTCGGTTCCAAGTCCCTTGGACCCAAAGTCCTGCACATGCTGCACCCCATCCAATGAGGGACGCATTGGTGTATAATGTCACTGTCGATTGCGGCAGTCAGAACGGAACACCGATAGATAAATTGTCTACAGTAGTCCACCATGTCAAGGTACGAAGGATCGAAAGCAGAATCCGAATAAATTTGCTTTGTGGGTCCCACTGCGGGTGAAACGATCTGTTGAGGAACAATTGCAGCAGTCGAAGTCTCAGTCTGGCATGGGGCACGATGGCAACTGAGGCAGCCATGTGTCCCAAAGGCCTCTGTATAGTGACAGCCTGTACTGTCCTGTGTTAGCAAAATCGCTGAATATGAGCAAAAAGAGTGGCTCGACGGGATAGAGGAAGAAATGCCCTCTGTAGGATGGAGTCGATACGTGCCCCGATGA